ATTTCTCATAGTTTTATTATACTCTGTAGTTTTTACTTTAAGTAAGTATAATTTCCGGCCTGTTTATCTTGGAAATAAGGCCAAAACAGTATATCGCCCATAGGACCAAAACCGGAAAGGACCGGCCCTGCCCCTCGTTCTCCGACTGCGGTTCTGTACACACACACACACACATATTTTTAAAAAATTGTTCTATATAAAATTAGGTAAAAATTTAGGTAAAATTTTGCATTTGCCGATATTACAAAATCCAAATACTCAAAAAATAAAAAATAACTAACAATTTTTAGCCACTATTAAAACAAAAATATTTTTCTCTGTTTCTTTTCTCATAAACTCTTCGAGATTCTCTCTTATTCGGGGTTTTAAATAAATTGTTTCTTATTTCTTTCCAAAATATGATACTACCTCCGTCCTGTTGGAAGGTTCCAATAGTAAAACGACACGATTATTTAGACAATAATTAAATAAAGTACTTCGAGTATATGTTGAGAAATAATTTTAATAGGTGTATATTATAATGTAGTTAGTATTGATAACTGTGATGTTATAAATGTTTTATTTTTAATATTTAATGATTAATTTGTCACTTAAGATTGTTAATTATTTCCTAAAATAGAAATGAGAACCTTTATATGGGACGTCCAAAAAGGAAAGTGTGAACCTTGTAATGGGATGGAGGGAGTAATTATTACATCTCATGTCTCATTAATTTTCTCCGACATTTCCTTTTTCTTTCGTTCACTAACTTTGTGTATCTGCAAATATTATAATGCATGTGTAGTTCTAAATCATTCTTACATTATTGTCCCTACTTTTTCATTTCAACATTAGCTAGATAAAATCTTTTTTAATAGCTGCACATATCTCGATCTTAAGTGGACCAATGTGATGTTACTTATCTATTTATTAATTCACAAGGTCTACCAAATCAATGTCTAAATGTAGATTAATTTTTTGTCTCATATTTATTGATAAGGACCCGTCTATCAATAATAATAAAAGATTCGGCCAAGTTTATTCTAGAAGGAAGAAGTAGTTAGTTGTTATTAGTTGTTGATCTGTTATACTAATAACCTCCTTCGGTTAAGGGCTGGGGGGATATAAATAGAATAAACTTGAGCGGGAGAGGCAGGCTGTTTAGACGTTATTGTCTGAGACTGGGAAGTTCGAGTATTATCTCCTTCTTTGGGACTCTGTACACTGTTTACCTTGTTAATGGAAGTTTACTGTTTTCTGTAGTTTGTATTCCATTCTATTGTGATCGTTGTATGGTTGTGGAGTCCTTGTCATTGGTATCAGAGACCGTTTGATCGCTGGATGACCTTAACACGTGCGAAGATGGAAGGAAGGATGACAGAAATGGAACGCAGTCAACAGGAGATACAATCTAATATGGAGAGGAATAAGCGTGAAATGCAGGCGATGATGTCAGCGATGCAAGCTAGCATCGCCGATATGCAGAGAAGGCTTCCCGACCGATCGCGAAGTCGATCGCATCAATCGACTACCTCGCATCGTCCATCTCACCAACGACGTGCGCCGCATAAGGATAGTTCGGAAGATTTAGAAGCTTATTCCGATCCTGATGCATCTCATGTGGATCGCGATTGTCATAGAAACGACAGACATCAGCAAACCGCAGGGAGGAAAATCGATTTACCGATCTTCAATGGAGACGACGCCTTTGGTTGGTTTATCTTTGCTATGAAGGAAAGTTGAATACCCTGGAACAGGGTAATCTGAATGAGGAGAGCTGGGGGAACATAATTGCAGAGTTTTCAGAAGTATTCACAGATCAATTCAAGTTCCCTCCTGCAAGAAACCGTGATCATGCCATAAACATACAAGAGGGAGCCAATATACCCAATTTAAGACCCTACAGGTATACTTTTGATCAAAAAAATGAGATAGAAAAGATAATTGGGGAAATGTTATCTTCTGGAATCATCAAACATAGCAACAGTCCCTATAGTAGTCCCATCTTGTTGGCTAGAAAAAAAGATGGTGGCTGGAGATTTTGTGGCGATTATAGGGCTCTTAACAAGATAACTATACCTGAAAAATTCCCTATTCCGGTTATAGAAGAACTCCTGGATGAATTAGGTGGTGCAAGGATTTTTTCTAAATTGGACCTTAAATCTGGTTATCACCCGATTAGGATGAAGGATGCTGACAATCATAAAACTGCATTTAGAACACATGAAGGTCATTATGAGTACCTTGTGATGCCTTTCGGGTTAACTAATGCACCTTCTACATTTCAGTCTCTTATGAATGAGGTTTTAAGGCCTTTTTTAAGGAAATTTGCACCAGTGTTTTTTGATGATATTCTAGTTTACAGTAAAACTAGAGAAGAGCATACAGAACATTTGAGGTTAGTGTTGGAGGCTTTGAAGAAGAATGATCTGGTTGCAAATAAAAAGAAATGCTCTTTTGGTCAAGAACAATTGAATTATCTTGGTCATATAATCTCGACAGAAGGGGTATCAGCTGACCCCAGTAAAACTGATGCCATGAAGGATTGGGTAATACCAAAAAACTTGAAGAAGTTGAGAGGATTTGTGGGTCTTACAGGGTATTACAGGAGATTTGTTAAAGGGTACAATCACATTGCAGCACCCTTAACACAACTTTTGAAGAAAGATGGGTTCAAATGGAGTGAGGAGGCTCACAAAGCTTTTGAAGAATTAAAGACAACTATGTCTACCTTACCAGTCCTAAGAGTTCCAGATTTCAGTAAGGTTTTTATTGTGGAAACTGATGCTTCGGGGAGGGGATTAGGAGCTGTTCTAATGCAAGATGGAGGCCCCATTGCTTTTATGAGCAAGGAATTGTCTCCTAAACATTTAAGCAAGTCTCTCTATGAAAAGGAGTTGATGGCCATTGTGTTTGCAATTCAGAAATGGAGACCTTATCTGCTAGGGAGAAAATTTGAGGTTCACACTGATCAGAGGAGCCTTAAATATTTGACTGAGCAGGCCATAATGGGGGAGGACCAGCAAAAATGGATATCCAAACTCATGGGATACAATTTCACTATTAAATATAAGCCTGGGTGTGAGAATAAAGCTGCAGATGCTTTGTCAAGAAAGATCAGTCTTTCAGCCTTATCTATAGTGAATTGTCAGGAGTGGGATGGACTGGAAGAAGAGATGTTGACATATCCTAAGTGTTTTGACACTATTCAGAGAATTATCAGTCACCCTGATCTAATGACTGATTTCAAACTGAGGAATGGATTGTTGTATTACAAAGGGAGGTTGATGATACCTCAGAATTCTCCAAGGATAGGCAGAATCCTTAAAGAATATCATGATTCTGCTACTGGTGGACATTCAGGAAATTTCAGAACCATGAAAAGGATAGCTACACTATTTTATTGGGTGGGGATGAGGAAAGATATTCAATAGTATGTACAGAACTGTGAAGTATGTCAGAGAAACAAATACCAGGCTTTGAAACCTGCTGGTTTACTGCAGCCGTTACCCATTCCGGAGCAGATTTGGACTGATATTAGCATGGATTTCATCGGGGGATTACCTAAAGCACAAGGGAAGGATACTGTGTTGGTGGTGGTGGATAGGTTGACTAAATTTGCTCATTTCATACCACTATCCCACCCCTATAATGCAAAAGGAGTGGCTGAAATGTTTATCAAGGAGGTGGTAAGGCTTCATGGGTTTCCAAAGTCAATAGTGAGTGACAGAGACAACATCTTCCTGAGCTCTTTTTGGTCAGAACTATTCAGATTGGCTGGGACAAAACTGAAATATAGCACAGCTTATCATCCTCAGTCTGATGGACAAACTGAAGTTGTCAACAGATGTTTAGAGACCTATTTGAGGTGTCTTACTGGGAAGAAACCGAAGGAATGGACTAAATGGTTACCTTGGGCAGAGTATTGGTATAATACCAATTACCATATATCATTAAAACAAACACCCTTTCATGCATTATATGGACAAGATCCACCTGCAGTGGTAAAAGGGGATGTCACAATGACTGCGGTTGATGAAGTGGCAAGACTAACTGCTGAGAGGAATGAAATGTTAGCTGAAATGAAGGAGAATTTGGCCATGGCTCAAAACAGGATGAAACAACAAGCTGATAAACATCGGAGGGAAGTAAAACTGGAAGTAGGTGAGAAGGTATTTTTGAAGATTCAGCCCTATAAACTGCAAAGTTTGGCAAAGAGGATCAATAAAAAAATGTCCTAGATTTTATGGACCATTTGAAGTTGTTGAAAAGATAAATGATGTAGCTTTCAAGCTGAAATTACCAGATCACTGTCGGGTACATCCGGTGTTTCATGTTTCTTTACTTAAGAAAGCTCTAGCCTCCAATATTTCTAGTCAGCCTCTACCTCAGTGTTTGAATAAGAATTGGGAGCTACAAGTGTTCCTAGAGAAGGTGGTGGATATGAGAAAAGCTCAGAATGGTGTTACAGAAGTTTTGATTCAATGGAAGGACCTCCCTGAATTTGAGAACTCTTGGGAAAATGTACCGTTGATGAAACCACAGTTCCCAGACTTTAAGCTTGAGGACAAGCTTGATCTTCAGCAGGGGAGTATTGATAAGGACCCGTCTATCAATAATAATAAAAGATTCAGCCAAGTTTATTCTAGAAGAAAGAAGTAGTTAGTTGTTATTAGTTGTTGATCTGTTATACTAATAACCTCCTTCGGTTAAGGGCTGGGGGGATATAAATAGAATAAACTTGAGCGGGAGAGGCAGGCTGTTTAGACGTTATTGTCTGGGACTGGGAAGTTGGAGTATTATCTAAGTAGTTTGTATTTCATTCTATTGTGATCGTTGTATGGTTGTGGAGTCCTTATCATTTATTTATACTTTGCAATGTAATGTTCACGTTGTTAAATGGGTTAACACTTCCCAATCTTACCCAATCCGTTGTAGATTATGTTTTTCATAGCTTGGATCGTCTAACTGAGTAATTGTCTCAAACGATGAGAATGATCTCACACGATGCATAATAGCATGACATATTTAGATATATTCTCTTGGCATACTTAGATGATTTGTAATATTCTCAATTATGTATAAATCCCCCATAATCCTCTTGTAATTACTCCCCTTCCTTAGATACTACCATTATTCTTGTATAAATTGTGGTAATACAAAGATTTCCCCTCAAGGGGTTTTGTTCAATCTCCTATATGGTATCAGAGGTCGATACTACTCCTTTTCCGCCACGGCTGGTGAATCCTCCACGCCAAAAGCAACCATTCATCGTGCCCTCACTATTAACAACATTAAAACTCACATCCCAATCACACTTGATCTTAAAGAAGATGAATATTCATCCTGGGTTTTCCTGTTTGAGCTTCACCTTGAGGCACATAACCTCATGTTTCTCATAAACCAGGATCCTGCTCCCAACAACATAGATGTACGCACCCGCAAACAGCTTGATGCATTGGTTCGGCAGTGGATGTTCTCCACCATGTCAAAGGACTTGATGCTCACAGTTCTCAAGTCTGGGAAAACTGCCAGGGATTTGTGGGAGCGCCTCAAAGCTCTGATCCAGGACAATAAAGGGACTCGTGCAGCAACTCTGGAGAGTAAATTTGTCAATCTCAAGTTCACTGATTGTTCTGACATCGACGATTATTGTGATAAGCTCAAAGCTATCTCCGACCGCCTCCAGGATCTCGAATTTCCCATGGATGACAAGCGGTTGGTCATACAGCTCATCAATGGCCTCCCTCCAGAATATGATACTGTAGCTTCGCTCATCTCACAGACCATGCCCTCTTTTGAGGCGGCTTGGGCATAGCTCCGCACAGAGGAACAACGTCGGGTTCACCAATCTTTTGCCGCTCCACCCACTGCTCTGGCGACTCCAGAACCTGCTGCTCCCAAGTCACCAAATCACGCTCCCACCCCTGCTCGCCAAGCTCCGCCGCGTTTCTCGAATCCCACAGGAGGACGCCGTAATTGCTCGAACGGTCGCCGCCCACCTGGATCCGCTCCAGCCGGCACCTTCAGTTCTGGTCGCCCGTCGTCCCCTGGGGTTGCTCCTGTTGCTGCTCCTCTGTTTTCAGGCTACCCCATGGCACCCTTACTGGGCCGTTCCGCCTTGCCCCTATCCTACGGCGGCGGCGGCGCCTTTCTGGTGGGGGCCTTCTGCTCCAGTCTCTCGCCCGCAGATTTCGTCTAAGGCTCAGCCTTTGAGGCCCTGGACAGGGCTATTCGTTTAAAAATAGCAATTAAATATAAGTAAATTACATATAAAATACATCATATACTATTAACACAGTGAGAATATTCTTCGAAATCAGAAGATCAAAGTTGATGAAAAAATACAAAGAGCCCTAGAGGGAGAAGGTTTTGTGCTTACATACAACATATCGATCGATAGAGCCGGAAAGTGATTTCATGACCAAATCATTTCTTAATTTTTTTCTTTGTCTTTGTACATCTTGATTCATATTTTGTTTTCCAATCATCACAAAACATAAAATTTCATTCAAAATAATACTATCACTAAATATAAGTTAATGGTTCATAGATATAAATTTAAGTCACTAAATTTAATCAAATATAAAAAATTATAAGTATGTTCAATATTTCGATGAATCAAAATAACAAATTACAATTTCAATTATTCAATAAGCATTCAAATATATTTAGAATACTCATTATCCTAAATCCCTAGCCCTACTGCCTTAGCCAACAAAGAAAAAAAAGGAAAAAGGAGCAAATAAGCCCACATACTAACCAAAAAGGTCAAATAAGCCCTTGTATAAGAGACTTTGTCCCGTCGTCGCCATTTGGGGCAGTTCCCGGCGGATTTTTTTGATGATTTGTTTTGAGAATCTTATTAATTAAGTCTTGTTTACTTATACCAAATTTCAGCTAACAATTCAACATGGAAGACATTCAAATAAATTCTTGAAGATAACTGCGCTTTTAACTGCGCAATTATCTTCAAGAATTCATTTGAATGTCTTCCCGATTGAATTTTTAGGTGAAATTTGGTATGAGTAAACTAGACATAATGAATAAGATTCTAAAAAAATCATCAAAAAATTACAAAGGAAACTATCCCAAATGTTGACGTCCGGACAAAGTCTCCTAAATAATATTAATAAGCTTATTTTATAAATTAGAGGCCTCTAAAATTTGGAGGCCCTAGACACTTGTCTAGGGTAACTCCCCCTATGGCCGACCCTGTTTTTAAGGGCCACGGGAGCTACATCACATATTACGGCGAATCCAGGTACCTTGTCTCGTGTTTTTAATAATAGCAATGTACACAATCAATTTTGGTTGGCAATGGTAATTCTATTCCGGTTATTGCCCGTGTTTCCAAAATTTTAAACCTACCCAACTGCACCCTTCAACTTAAAGATGCCTTGTCGCCCCTAATATTATAAAAACCTTGTATCTGTCCGTAAATTCACTACTGATAATCATGTTTCTGTTGAATTTGACCAATCGGGTTTTTCTGTGAAGGACTTGACTACGGGGACCCCTATTATGAGATGCAATAGCTCCGGGAGCTTTATCCTATAGCCACCAATGCTGTGTCACCCGACCCTTCACCTATCTCTCTAGTTGTTATGTCGCCGGAACTTTGGCACAAGCGTCTTGGCCACCCTGGAAAGGCTGTCTTAGATTTACTCCATAATAAATCTTTAATTAAATATAACAAAGAGGGTGAGTTAAAACTCTGTCACTCTTGTCAAGTTAGCAAACATGTTCGTTTACCTTTTTATTCGTCTAGTTCTAATACCTCTACTCCTTTTGATATTATTAATAGTGACTTATGGACTTGTCCCATTAATAGTAATACTAGTTTTCGCTATTATCTCATTTTATTAGATCATTTTACTAATTATCTCTGGGTTTATCCACTTAAAGTTAAATTTCAAGTTTTTGGAAAATTTCTAGAGTTTAATTCTTTTGTTCGTACTCAATTTGAAAAAGAAATCAAATCTTTTCAGTGTGATATGGGACGAGAATTTGATAACTCTTCGTTTCACAATTTTGCCAAAGAACGTGGTTTTGTTTTTCGCTTATCTTGTCCTCAGACTTCACCACAAAATGGCAAAGCTGAACGAATGATTTGTCGTATCAATATATGACATAACTCGCACCCTTATGACCCACGCCTCCATCCCACCTAAATATTGGGTTGACTCTCTTCACATGGCGGTTTATCTTCATAACATTTTACCAACAAAACATTGTCCTTCCGCTGTCCTGTTTTAGCCCTGTACCGTCGTTAGCCCACTTATGATCATCTCCGTACCTTTGGTTATCTCTGCTATCTCAACCTAAGTTCTACAACCCCCCACAAATTGGCTCCCCGGTCCACTCGATGCGTCTTCCTCGAGTTCCCGCCTCACCATCGTGGGTATCGTTGTCTAGATTTATCTACTGGCAAATTTATTCTTTCTAGACACGTTACTTTTGATGAGTCAGTGTTTCCTTTCGCGGAACTACCTCACTCCTTCCCTGCGTCCTATGAATTCCTTTCACCCAACCCCTTATTATTGACCACCTTCAGTATCCTCAATCCCCAAGTACACCTACACCAGCCCACACTACCCCCCTACATCATACACCTTCGCCATATATCCCACCCCTCGCCGCACCACCTCACCTCCCACCACACCACCTACAAACTCAACCATCCCTTCCCCATTACAGTCTCCCAATCCATCACCTTCCCGCCTCCCCACCCTCTTCCTACTCACCCTATGGCCACTCGTGCATCTCACGGTATTTTCAAACCCAAACCGGTCTTTAACCTACATACTCAGACCTACCCTCTATATCACCTCTTCCACGCTCTCACATTTCCGCCCTAAACGACCCTAACTGGAATAATGCCATGCAAGAAGAGTACAATGCTTTATTAAAAACACATACTTGGGACCTGGTCCCACACCCTCCTGGTGCCCATGTCATTAGATCTATGTGGCTCTTCCGACATAAGTTTCACTCTGACTGGTCTCTACAGTGATACAAGGCCTACTTGGTGGCCAATGGCAAATCTCAGCAGGTTGGTATTGATTGTTTTGATACTTTTAGCCCTGTGGTTAAACCTGCCACTATTCACACAGTTCTTACTATTGCTGCATCCCGATCATGGCCTATTCATCAATTGGATGTTAAAAATGCATTTCTGCACGCGGACTTGTCTGAAATAGTTTATATGCATCAACCACCTGGTTTTCGTGATCCATCACGCCCTAATCATGTTTGCCTTTTACGCAAATCTTTATATGGTCTTAAGCAAGCACCCAGGGCATGGTTTCAGAGGTTTGCTACTTTCATTACCCGATGTGGTTTTCGGGCTAGTACATGTGATTTCTCCCTATTTGTGTACCATTCTTGATCTGACACTGCATATCTCTTGCTCTATGTGGATGACATCCTCTTTACTACTTCGTCTGATTTGCTTTTGCAACAATTTATTACCATGATGAAGAGTGAATTCTCCATGACCGATCTTGGTCCACTACATCATTTTCTTGGTCTTACTGTGACTAGATCTGCATGTGGCCTTTTTCTATCACAATCACTATATGCCCAGGAGATCCTTGCTCGCGCTTCTATGACAAATTGCAAACCAGTAACAACACATGTTGACACATCTGCTAAGCTTGGCGCCTATACCAACTCCTCTCCGGTCGATCCCACCTTATATCATAGTCTTATGGGTGCCCTACAGTATTTGACCTTCACCCGCCTTGATATCTCATATGTTGCACAACAAGTATGTTTGTTTATGCATGATCTCCGTGATCCTCTTTTTCAGGCTCTCAAACGCATCTTACGTTACCTGCAGGGAACCATTAATCACGGGCTCTGCATCTCTTCCAGTCCCATTTCTGGCCTTACCGCATACTCCTATGCTGATTGGGCAGGCTGCTCTGACTCACGCCGCTCTACATCTGGTTTTTATATTTTTCTTGGTGACAATCTCATCTCTTGGTCTTCTAAACGCCAGCCAACTGTTTCCCGCTCCACTGCAGAGGTCGAATATAGAGGAGTTGCTAATGCTGTTGCTGAGTCCTGTTGGCTCTGAAATCTCCTCCTTGAACTTCATTTGACACTTCGAGGTGCTACTATTGTATACTGTGATAACATTAATGCGATATATCTCTTCAGTAACCCTGTTCAACATCAACGCACCAAACACGTTGAAATTGATATACACTTTGTTCGCGAGCGCTTTCAGCTTGGAGACGTTCGGGTTCTTCATATTCCTGCTGAGTATCAATATGCATACATATTTACTAAAGGCCTTCCTCGACAACTTTTCTACCGCTTTCGTGATAGTCTCAGCATCCGAGCATCTCCTTCTTCGACTACGGGGGTGTAATAGCTTTCGTGACATATTTAGATGATTTATAATATTCTCAATTATGTATAAATCCCCCATAATCCTCTTGTAATTACTCCCCTTCCTTAGATACTACCATTTTTCTTGTATAAATTGTTGTTATACAAAGATTTCCCCTCAAGGGGGTTTGTTCAATCTCCTATAATGCACATTATTTTTAATGGAGGTGCATAATACACTTATATTTAAAATAATTCAGACTTTGAATGGACATGAAAGGTTGAATTTATTTACAAAAATGCTACTACAATTTTTTTATGATAGCACATATTTCTGTTCAAATAATGCACAATTTTCAAATCTAACATTCCAGTTCATTCTAATTCGCTTTTACGCGTTAAGGTGTCTTCTCATTTGAACTCAATCTTATATATATAATTTACGATCTTCAATTCTAACGTTCCGCTTCATATATAGAAATAATGACAGAGTAATTTATTTGAACAATTATTATATATAAAAACAATAGTTCAACAAGGGCTGTAAAGTAATAAGTATATTGGAAATTTATTTTGGTAGTAAAGCAACAATATTAAAGACAATGAAAGTCAAAAATAGATGTTTATATTTTGGTTTACTCGCAACTTGCACGGGTCAACTCACTTAACCTTGATAGTCCTAAAATCAATCAACAATCATACAATATAATAAAAGCAGAGAATCACAAAATGATAGAGATATGTTGATCGTTGAAATCCTCTTCTATATACCGTATAAGCTCCGAGAAAGATATGAGCGTAAATAACTTATATGAGACTTAGGGTTTGCTTAAGTTAGTATCCTTTTATACATAAGGATGTCTAACTTAAGGCTTACAA